GAATATTTTGTCATTGTTATTTATTCATAGAAATATGAACAAAAGATTATTGGGCTGATCATTTTATGCGTGTGTATAATATATACATTCTAATGACTATTATTCATAAGTATATCATAAATTAAATAGTACAAAACAGAGTTTTAATAAAAGAGAACAAGTTTTACATTCAGATGCAGCTGAATTAGTCTAAATATTGGTTTACCATTTTTTTTTAAATTTTTTTTTTCAACGTTTATTTATTTTTGGGACAGAGAGAGACAGAGCATGAACGGGGGAGGGGCAGAGAGAGAGGGAGACACAGAATCGGAAACAGGCTCCAGGCTCTGAGCCATCAGCCCAGAGCCTGACGCGGGGCTCGAACTCACGGACCACGAGATCGTGACCTGGCTGAAGTCGGACGCTTAACCGACTGCGCCACCCAGGCGCCCCTTGGTTTACCATTTCTTGACTACATCACCTAACAATTGCAAGCCTCAGTTTCTTCATTTTTAAAATAGTTATCATGATCTTGAAATTAAGTAACACATGTAAAGCCTATCACATAGTACCTAACACAATTTAAAAGCCAAAGTAATTTTAGTCATTGTATCATTGGATTTTTTTCACAAGATACCACATATACTCATAAATGCATACTTTCTAACTGAACAATGACTACAGGATATATTTTCAAATGAGTTTTTAAAATATGATTTTGAGAAATCTTCTCCTTTTATAGTTATTCTCTAAACCATCCTATTAATCCAAATCACCTGCATCAGTAAGAGAGTAGATACTCTAAGAAGTAGTGAGGATATGAAAGGGTACAACCACAACAGTGAAGATCAACTCAGATACTGGAAGGACAGAATCAAAGGCAGAATTAAGGTAAGAGAAGCATAACAGCTGCTTTGCCTCTTGAGATGCCCAAAGACATATTCAAGCTGCCCATAGCTGCCCTTGGATTCTGCCAATCGGCCTTTTCTCCTTGCTTCATGAATATTCCATAAACCATACGCTTTCCAATTCCCAAAGAATAGAAGTGGTCACCATACACCTCTGCTAGGCCATTAACTGGCCATAGGACACATATAGTGACAATGAATCAAACCACTAGTGACCTTACCCAAAGACAGAATTACCAAATGTCATGTAGTCTCTGAGGGCAATTCCAAATAAGGGGTTTAAGCATATTTTAAACAAAGGCAGCTTCATTCAAATAAGTAAACAGTCACACAAGCTGGAATACATATTTGAATAAGCAAATTTCAGCTGTCTGATTAGAATTTCTACTGAAACTCCAAACCTTATATATTTTTAGAATATTTCCTTCCAATAACATATTTTAAAATGTTACTCTTAAGATATTCTTTCTCCTCCTAAATTTTCTTCTCCCTCTCTCTCTCTCTCTCTCTCTCTCTCTCTCTGTTCCTCACACTCTCCTTCTCTCAATTTTAATGTGTTTTCAACGTTCAAAGTTGAACTTGATACTAAAGCCATTCAATGATAACTGACATTGCAATGTCAGCTATGCTCTGGCAGCAATCTGGAGTTAGGAGGATGGGCTAACCCATTAATCACTGTCTTTGGAACACAGATATTCGTCAAGTAAACTGCTGTGGAGATATGGGTTATCATACACAAACAATCACATATTGTAGAGGACCGGAAGCCTATGATGCATATTTTGACCAGATTTCCTTCCCAACCTTTAAATACTATGAATTCTTGACTCTGGGTATGTCATTTGCACACAGGTTGTGGCCCAGCCTGCCAAGAGGAGTTACTGAATCAGAGTGGACTTAGCCAATTGCATGTGCTCAACCAAGCATTTACTGACAATGGCAACTACTCCAACCAAGTGATATATTTAAGGGAACAAATAGAAGATTATTGGTTCTCTTCCCACCTTTGGAAATTCTGCAAAATTACTTAAGTGTTGATAACATTCCATTAGAGCACTAGGGCAAGTTCACTTTGCAAAAATGAAAAGAACTATGCCAACTCATCACAAATAGAAAAAATATGTATATAAAATATGTCTCCAAATCCAGAATCTCTGGACTTGAGCATCCTGGGGTTGGGGGAAGTTAGCAGCTACATGGGAGAGTCAGAATGATTTACGCTTTCAACATTATTAGAAAATCATTAGTAGAAATATCTTGTTTCAATACTTAAAATTAACCACTAGTGATATAAAGATATATATAGCTTCCAAAGTACATGAAAAAATAAACACTAAGAAATTTTGTGAGAAAGATATATAACAAAAGCTAATATTAAGAAAGAATTCAAAAAATATAAAAATCAGACCAAATAGAATTCAAGGGAAAAGGTATTATATGGGACCAAAAAAAGGTTATTTTACAATTAAATATATATAAGGATACGAAAATAGAGCAGATATGAATCTTTACATGTTGAATATCAGGGTATCAAAGTGTATAAAACAAAAAAAGTTAAAAGGCAAAAAAAAAAAATTTGACACAGGCTCATATTAGTGGGAGAATTTTTTGTGTCTTTCTTGGTATTTGAAAAATCAAGAAGACAAGAGGTGATTTGTTAGACAAATGAAATAATAATGTTTTAAGTAAAATTGATTTAATAACTAAAAATCAACTTCTTTCAAATTGCCATCAAACATTTATAAGTTTTTAACATAATACAGAACACAATGGAAGTATGATAACATTTACATTTATACAGGTAACATTTCTGAACACAATATGATACAACTAGAAATGGACAGTGGAGCTAAATAAATAAACCAATTCCACTTTGGAAATTTTATCTTCCAAATATCATAGAGAAAAACAATCGTGTAATTGTAGAATATTTTGCAAATAATTATGGTAATAGATATCAAAAGTTATTAACTATGGATAAGGGTGTATGCAATATAGCTCATGGCTATAAAGGAAACTATTATTAAAGAAGAAACAGTGAAAACAAATTACTAAGAATTAACCAAAAAACTAGAAAAGAGTAACACAATTAACCTACAAAAAGATGGAAATAAAATAAATCATGAATCAACAATTAGAACACAGAAACAGTTAAATAAATGAATACATACATACATAAACAAATATCCAAGACTTAACTTTTTTTTGAAAGAAATAGTAAATAGAATTTTTCTACCAAGGCCTACAAGAGAGCAAAACAACTAAAATCACAATAAAAGTCAGAGAGGGCATAAATCTACCCGTGGGTAATGGGAAAGGGCTAAAACGGCAGATAATCAGTTTTTTTTTTAACTGAATACAGTGTACAAAATCCATTCTAATGATTTTGAAAATTTTTCGAAACGGTTTACTCTAGAGGAAAATGTAAATTAAGTCAATTCAAATGGACTTAATGGAAAGGGCAATAATTTTCCTACCTGCTCACATGTTATTCTTAGAGAACCAGTGCCTGGAGCTCGTAGGAGCTATAGGTTGTTGACACTTCATCAGTTAATCCCTGCTAGAGCGAGCATGGAACCTGATTTGTTCTACCGCTGTGTCCGCGGAGGACTTCCCCGACCACCTGCATGCCACCACCCGCCCCCCCAACGCACCTTCCCGCAGAAGACTTCCCCCGACCACTTGTATTCTGAATGGCACCCCAGCCCTCTCACAATGCGGCAGCGCTTCCTTCCTGTTAGGTGCTTCTGCACTATCACAGCACTGTCGGCATCTAACATGCGCATGTTTTTTAAAGTTTTAACATTTATTCATTTTTGAGAGACAGAGAAGGACAAAGAGTGAGCGGGGGAAGGGCAGGGAGAGAGGGAGGCAGAATCCGAAGCAGGCTCTAGGCTCTGAGCTGTCAGCACAGAGCCCAGAGGCAGGGCTTGAACTCATGGACCGCAAGAGAACTGAAAGAGATTGTGATCTAGGCAGAAGTCTGATGCTTAACCAACTGAGCCACCCAGGTGCCCCTATTTATGCAGATGATTTTAAACCATCTGTCTCCCTCTCCTCATTCTACACACTTAAATGTAAGCTCCATAGAGCGGGATATTTGTTTAGGAGGGGGGTTACCTACACTGTTGATTCTCAGACCAAAACAGAGTCTGTCACGTGGTTGGCAATGAATGTGTATTTGCTGGAGTTAGAAAATGAAGGAATTAATGAATGATTTAACAAATACAGGGAATAAGTTATTATCTACACACAATAAAGTCGATCATTATATATACTGTGATTTGGGCAAAAGAGTTTTAAACCATTACTTGTGGTTGAATTTTTTATTGCAGAATCACTAATGTGCTCAATGTAAATTACAGTAGCTCTTAGGTTTTTACATCCTTTTAGGTCTGTTCCCTTAGGAGAAGAATTCTCAGTCTTTGGTGTACATCGACTACAACTATGGGTGTTTTGTTTATTGGTTTTATTTTCTCGTTTAATACAAGGGCACAGGCCCCATCCAGCCCCATGGGATAGTGCTAATGTGGGATCATGTTAAGAACCGCTGCTTTATTTTGTTCAATGAACTCTACCAAAATGCTTTGTCAACCCACTTAAAGATATCCATAGGTTCCTCTTAAGAGTATACCTAAGATTTAGGGGCGCCTGGGTGGCGCAGTCGGTTAAGCGTCCGACTTCAGCCAGGTCACGATCTCGCGGTCCGTGAGTTCGAGCCCCGCGTCAGGGTTTCCGATTCTGTGTCTCCCTCTCTCTGCCCCTCCCCCGTTCATGCTCTGTCTCTCTCTGTCCCAAAAATAAATAAAAACGTTGAAAAAAAATTAATAAAAGAGTATACCTAAGATTTTGCCTGTCAAAAATCTTTTAATTCTGGCAGCAAGTTACAAACAACTAGCTCCACGTAAATCTAGCTCGTCCAAATCTGTTTAATTTTTAGGCCACTAATCACCGTGTTAAAGTTGAAATTTACAATTATCCTTTTATATTTTTCCAGACTTTAAATAACTCACAAATTGTTATTGGGATTTTCAAATTCTCAGTTTTTCCCCTGGCAATGCAAATCTGCCCAAAAAGTTGAAATCTTAAACTGAAGGAGATTAAGTCAAATACCTGTAGAGGTGTTTCAGGATGCTTTTCTCTCAGCACTGGAGCAGCCGGAATCTCCTGGGGGGCTTTTGATGACTTCCTTTTGGCTTTTTCCATTTGAATATTGGTAAAATAATTGACAGCAGCAAACTCAATAAGTGCGGAAAATACGAAAGCAAAGCAGACAGCTATAAACCAATCCATGGCAGTAGCATAGGACACTTTGGGCAAAGAATGCCGGGCACTGATGCTCAGTGTGGTCATGGTGAGGACTGTGGTTATCCCTTCAAAAGCAAAAGAGCAAAGAGACAAAATACTTTACCATTACTTCTATGAAACCAAACCAACAAACCTAGGGATTTGGTGGGGTAGGGGTTACAAATTTTTCAATATCTCAAACCAAACCATCTTTAGTGGAAGATTTGAATCCTAGTGGTTCAGTGAAATTAGCACAGGTTTTTTTTGTTAATTTTTTAAATGTTTTGCTTATTTTTTGAGAGACAGAGCGTGGGCAGGGAAGGGGCAGAGAGAGGGAGACACAGAATCTGAAGCAGGCTCCAGGCTCTGAGCTGTCAGCACAGAGCCCGATGTGGGGCTTGAACTCACGAACGGTGAGATCATGACCTGAGCCAAAGTCGGATGGTTAAACGACTAAGCCACCCAGGCGCTCCAGCACAGGTTTTTGAGTAAGACACAGATATAACTAAAATCCTGCCTCTATATTAATCATTGGCTCAGTGCCACCTGGATTAAATAAGGAAAACTCACTGGGCTTCATTTGATACTTACCTTTTGGGGTTGCTATAAAGATTACAAATATATAAGGCACCTGTCATATATTGGATTGGTATTAGTATCTGAGCCAACATACCTGAGAAAGTCAACACATCCATCTAACAGGATGTGTGACTTATTGAAGTGCTTATTCTCAACCAGAAGTGAGAAGTTGATAGCATTGTAATTTGGACCATCAAAATTTCTGGGATAGGTATGGCCCATTGCTATTGAGAATCATTACCAGAAAAAGCATGAATTATAGATATTTACAATCCTTAAGTGAATATTACCTATTGAATTAAGATAATAATAAAATAATAATAATCTAGTTGTGAAAGAGCTTAATTTATAAAAGGCAGTACATGTAGATTTCTGAAAAAATTGATTTCTAGAATAATTTTGTTTTAAATATTGGACATCTACCATGCATCAGTTCGTGGTAGGCAGGAAAATCTTTGCAACAGGAATAGAAGTACTTCTCTTTCATCAACAGGCTTCCAAAGCATATCATTTCCAGGGAAGCCTTCTCCTCAACCTAAAAAAAAGGTTAGTCCCCATTCTCAGTATAAAAATTCCACTTGCCACGAGAACTATAGAGAAATGCATTATTTAAAGATGCTAATAGTTGACTCTCTGCATCTTTGTCTATCTGTATATTTAATCTATGTTATCTAGTTAAGCTTGGAAATTTCTGTGAGAATTTACTATACCCATTTAAACTCATTCTATATAATGCTCAGGATAGCTCATGAATTGACACACCCAGATGTTGGGGGATGAGGAGGAGGAAGATAGTGATGATGATGATGATAATGATGATGATGATGGAGACACCTAAACTATATATTCCAATCCATGTCAATCCTTAGTTGAAAGCCAAACAATACATGTCAAACTGAAGAAAAAGTGAGCCCCATGCAGTAAAGGAATAATAATATTTGAGCTTAGGGAGAAATTATATTGTCTCCTCAACTCAGCATTTAATTATATTCTTCCTTGTTCCCTAATGATTCCATGTATGTAAGCCTGTTTCCACAACTTGATTTAGTGTAGCCTCCTTGAGGGCATAAATGTCTAACATTTCTTCAGGACAGACCATACCTCATATAGTGCTGGATACATGACGAATGCATAAGAAATAAAAACTCATTTTTTCACCTCCTCACCAACCCATTTTTTTCTCTAGTCCCCTCTTAATTGTCAATTTTAGAACATAAAAAAGTTAAAGCTACTTGCAGTATATAAACTATAGATCTTTTAAAAAGATTCCATAAACAGAGAAAGAAATTTGAGGATTTGGTTGTATTCCCTTTTAAAAAAATAATGGTGATTTTTTTTTTTTAGAGTTTTATTTGTCTAAAACAGATTTTAAAATGTATGCTTGGTGAAATAAGGAGATATGAAAATAGCTAGAAAATGGAGTATTGGGAATTTATTGGACTTCATTTCAGAAAGAGACCTTAGAACTTTTAGGCCTCCATTTTGAATCTCAGAAAAAATGGCAGCTTTCCCATGCTGCCTATGAAATGTAAATTAATTTTAAAATTTTTAGCTACATAGTTTGAAAATAAATCTGGGGCGCCTGGGTGGCGCAGTCGGTTAAGCGTCCGACTTCAGCCAGGTCACGATCTAGCGGTCCGTGAGTTCGAGCCCCGCATCAGGCTCTGGGCTGATGGCTCGGAGCCTGGAGCCTGTTTCCGACTCTGTGTCTCCCTCTCTCTCTGCCCCTCCCCCGTTCATGCTCTGTCTCTCTCTGTCCCAAAAATAAATAAAAAACGTTGAAAAAAAAAATTTAAAAAAGAAAATAAATCAAAGTTTTTCTTCTTATTCATAAAAATTTAACTTTAATGGTCTATTCAGAATTCAAAAATGTTCTACAACTTCCTTACTTCCCCTACTATGCTGAAAACTATGCTGAAAACTACTATGCTGAAAAACTATGCTGAAAACACTTGGGAATAAAACATGAACAGTGCAGCCTAAATAAGAATACTACTCAGAACTCAGAAATTCCACAGAGCATGTGATAACAAAAAAGGAAAACTCAAACCCAACTATAAGCAATTTGGGATTTCCCATGTTGCTTTGAACATTTATTTCTTGTACTAGAACAATTTCTCCCTCAGACCTCAAGTAATGGTCTTCTCCTGCTATCATAGAAAGAAATTCCTTTGTTAATGTAAGTAGGATATTAATGCAATTATTGAGCCATGAACCCCAAAATTACTTTCTGATCATTAAGGAGGGTAAATCCCCAGTTTCATGAAGATGTTAAATTATGCTAGGGACATAAGTGCAAAAAATCCTGGATATGTGGCCACTTTCCATTCCTTTTTCACTGACTTGAGTCAATTTAGTTTTAAGTTTGTAGAATAACCATTGAAGGGTATATGATACTATGGTTCATCTTTCCTGACTATTGGCAAAGCTAGGAAAGGTAGCCTGCATAAACAATTGGCTAAGTGTTTGAAGTTGCCATCCTTTTCTTTAGACATTAAAAAGTTCTGTCTGCCTGGTGATCAAATTTAAAGAAAGCACTAGCATGACAGGAATGTGCTTATTACAGCTGTTTTTAGACAGAGCATTTGGTTCAATAAATACTAAAAGAATTGCAAACAGAAGCCAACCCTTTGGATAAGAAGCCATGCTTCCTCTGCATCTAGGAAGACATTGCATCTGCTCTAAATGGCTTTGCTGGCATCTACCCTCAAAACACTTCAACAACCACAGGATTTTTTTTGACACATTCAAGTATTGATGCCAGTACCTGCTTTTATAATGCTGAATATGTACCATATTGGCTGGCCCGGGAGCTGGGAGAGGACGTGGAAGAGTGGGCTAAGACTGTGCACAAGAGTAAATTTTTGGCCGGCCACTCCAAGAAAATGAACTAGTAATGATTTAGACATGCCAGCTGGCATTTACTCTGGTTTAACATTTTACTATACTGGAATAATTAGAAGACTTAAAGGCATGCAACTTTGCAGATAGAAGGCCTTTGGAGAGAATGTAGAACACTCTGCTTCTCATAGTTACACTAATTTTTTTGAAGGGGGAGTCTGTTTTTGCATGATTTCCAGTGATATCTCTGACCCAGAAAATTCTCTCCCTGAATGAAGAGGGAAATGAAAATTAGGGGAAAAAATATTAATCCAGAATGAATTTTTTACTTGAATCTCATATGAAATAGATTGCCAGTGATCCCCCAAACACTTTAAACTTAACTTCCTTAGGAAAATACCATCTCAGGGCCTCAATGAACAATTTAATAACTACCATCCTGACACATCTTAGACATTTCAAGACTTCATTATTGTGCATAATTTCCCTGGTCAATCAAAACCAACATCTCGGCACATAAGCTCAAGACAGGCAAATGTCACAGTTCAAATGGAAAAAGCTACCCACAAATTATCTTCAGCACACATCCATACAATCTCACTCAGTAGCTCTGGAATACTCCACAAGTGCCCACATCATACTTCCTGTGAAGACAGAATGACAGAGTAGAAATGGCAGAGTTCTCAACGTTAGACAGAAACTGTCCTGGGTCCATCACTTATAAGTAGGTGACTTGATACAAGTTTCTTGATTTCTCTGGGTTCTTTTGCTTCTCCATGAAAAATTAATAACACCTACCTTGCTGAGCTATTGTGAAGGTTACACAAGATGGCACATCTTATCCTTACTACATGCTACTTAATTTCCTCACAGTGTCTGCGTTATCAAGAAATCTGTAGGAAATGTTGGGTGGCTACAGCTGTAATCAATGTTATCCTTCTCCGCACCACTGGCGATTTCCATTATTTGGGGACAAGTGAGACAGTGGCTACCAGTTTGTGTTGAACCGAAAAAGCACCCAAAGCTTATCAAGCAATCACAATAAACATAAACTACAGAGAAGCTTTAATTATAGTATCAAGTGGTGGTCTCAAATGAGGTAGGTGGCAGGGTAGACTTATAATAATCAACATTGAAATAAAATGCATTGTGTGATAGGCATTCCTTCAAGTGCTTTATCCAAATTAATTTATTTAATCCTCATAGCAACCCTGTGAAGTAGGTACAACCATGTATCCTGTTGTAACACATGCGGAAAAGAGCAGAAGCAACTCACTGATGGTTTGTCAGCAAATCAGTGGCAGACCTAGTGGTTAGAACCTTGGCTGCAGCATCCGTATTAAGATACTATTATACCTTCATCAGATGCACAAATGATGGGTCAGTATTTTCTGTTCTAGGTGTTCTTTAAGACCACAGAGAAAAGATGATAAAAATAAGTGATTTTACTTTTATTATCAATGAAATAGTTCCTGAAATATTGATATTATTGGTGCCAGGGAAAGTTAAAGAACTTTGGTCTGATGCTCAGCCTCAGCAGGTACTTCCTGCCCAGTCAGGCTGACTCAACATGACATGGAAACACCCAAGATTAGTATGGGCACTAAATGAGATAATGAGCATAAAGGACGTAGCAGAGTGCCTGGAATTACACAACAGAACAATATATGTCCTCTTGAAAAAGCAACTAAAAATCAAGGAAATCAAGTCACAACAAAGTAAATCTCCTCTCTGTCAGAGAAGTATGAGAGAGAGTAACTAATATGTACTAAGTGCACCATACGCCCTGTGATGAGGACCGCACATAAATCCACATCCTCACTAGTCTATGAAAGAGAGATGTATTAGCATGGATATGTATATGGATGGAGAAAATAAGTGCCAGATTCCAGTTTCAAACCCCAATCTGTTATGGTGCGAAGCTTAGATTTGTTATTTTCTGTTTCATTTTTACATACGTTTTTAATAGGTAAAATTTATTCAACACTTGCAACATGGATTTATTCTTTAACTGAACCTTTGCAACTCTATGAAGAAGGCAGTGCCATGATACCTGCTCACTACCCTCCTGGGGTCATACCCTGCCCCCAGGATTGACCTTATGCAGTGGTTTCCCCAGTAGGGTTCTTGAGTAAACCTAAGACTAAAGGAGGGTGGGTGCAGTGTCTATGGAAAATGTCCTCACATTCACGTGCACTGAGGACACTAAGACACCTTATGAGTTCTCTATAAGGATGGGGAGGTGAGATGAGAAGCTCCTACTTCCCCCAGTTTCTTCTCACCAGCATTCATCCCCTCAGCTCTTGTATGATAAGGAATATTCTCCCGTGGCTTTAATCCTAGTAACTAGAAAAGGCAAAGGGAGATTGACATCTCTTGTGAGGACTATACCTCCAGTCCAGAGCAACTGGGAACATTTTCTTTCTTATCCTGCTACTGAATGCTTGTGCTACTCACAATCAATAGAAAAAGAATAGAGAAATTTGTTAAGTTACATAAATACCATTATAACTAATTATATTATTTAAAAGCATGACTGATATGTAGAAGACTTATGAAGAGCTATAAAATTTAAAACTGATGGGTTCTGGACCTCATATAGCTTAGAATATGATATATAGAAAGCCACTATAAAAATGAAAAGAAGAAAATATGGTGTGTTCAGAAAAAGAGATTTAACTAGAATATAACAATAAGCTAATAAACTAGGTGTATAATACCATCCAACTCAATGCATTTAAACCACTTGCATTTTGTTCCTCTTCATTAAAACGCAGATTTTTCTAAGGCTTTCATATTTATTCGGCCATGACTTTTATTTGTTTTATTGTAAGTTCCCAGTGCATTTCATTTTAACACCTAGATATGATTTTAATTCAATTACACAACATTAAGGTAGGAGCCCAAGAATGTCACCAAAAGTGAAATCATATCCAGTTTCACACTTGGTCTTCATCTGCCGGGTCTTAATAAGAGAAATCTGATGGGGCCCCAAAGGAAGGGATAGACTGTCCATATCCCCTCAAGCCTTATTCGTCTTGGCTGGGAAAAATGGAAAGCTTATGTGATTCTTTTCTGAATACAGCTTGATATATTACCGTTTAATATTTTCTTAGAAAAAAAATTATGTCTACGAGCTATTCCCATGAATCGTGATCAAAATATAATGTGAACAAAAAATACCCAAGAAAATGAATCTCAATTACCAAACACAGTCCTAGCTGGAACTGATTCCTTGTTTATCCAGAATGAAACTTGAGAAAGAATCACTGTCATAATACACGGAATATATGTCTGAATCATAAAGTAACCCATCTTCCGTCTCAGGTGGAAGTAAACTGTCATAACAATATATTCACCTACAAATAAAACATGAGGAAAATGTATTATTGGTTATGCAGGCAATTAGTCAATAACTTCATAATCATATTTCAGCCTAAAAAGAGCATTTTAGACAAAGAATTATCTGTTGTGCATAGCAAGCAAACTGAGAAATATATAGTTCCTAACTATGGGGAAAATGACCCTGAACACAATTATTGTTCTATACAGTGATGAAGCCATTTAATACATTAAGCTATAACTTTTAAAAAATTCTTGCAGCGCTGTCTGTATTAAAGGTCCAGTACTGCAAAAGCAATTACCATTCAATTTCAGCATTTTCTAAGAGCAGAATTTAGACCGAACTTTTATGGAAAGTCAGTAGGAAAAAAAATGGAAACACACACACATTTGAAAATACTGCCTTAGTTTTCAGAAACAGCTATATTTCTAAATGTTATATATATATAAAGAAAAATACAAAGAGAAACATATAACATAGAACCATAGTTAACATCCCTGAGTTCAGGTATATTTTATGGGCATTTAGACAAGCTAATAAGGGAAACAAACTAAGATTTCTAATGGCTGTTGATAAGTACTTTTTAATATTACATCCGAAAGCAACAATTAAGAAAGTTACTTAGGAAGCGGTAGACTTATTCTCAGACTCTGAAGCCCAGGATTCAGAAGACTCAAATCCCAGAATCTGTTTTCAGTCCCACTTGCAGGCTCGAGAATGAATGCCAAGTAGCATATTGATTTTAATTATTAAACATCTCACCCGTAATGGACTTGATAGTTTCACTTGACACAGTTTGCCCAATCAAGTCATATTGGACTAAGCTGGAAGACTCCTTTGGAACTTCCACTGATTTCTCAGGACCTTTTGTCCATGTATAAATCATCTCACTCTTTGGATATGCATCTGAATGAGAGCCGAGAATGTGATTAAAGTCAGTGGTCCTTTCCCATCAGCACTGATGGTCAACATTTAAGAATATTACACATGTTCAAGAAAGATGGAATAAAAGTAAACAATAATCATGATTTATTAAAACACGTTTAAGACTTAGAAAACTGTAGAGATTAAATAAACAGTCTTGCAACTCAGCATGTTTCTTGTTTTTATGTTGAGAATTGGAGGAGAGGGGCGCCTGGGTGGTGCAGTCGGTTAAGCGTCCGACTTCAGCCAGGTCATGATCTCTCAGTCCGTGAGTTCGAGCCCCGCATCAGGCTCTGGGCTGATGGCTCAGAGCCTGGAGCCTGTTTCCGATTCTGTGTCTCCCTCTCTCTCTGCCCCTGCCCCGTTCATGCTCTGTCTCTCTCTGTCCCAAAAATAAATAAATGTTGAAAAAAAAAAAAAAGAGAGAATTGGAGAAGAGATTAAAATTGGAGGAGGGGCACTTGGATGCTTTTCCATACTAATAGGAGAAGCAGTTGAAAAGCGGAAATAATACCCCTCCCCCCAAAAAGTACTTCTTTCCATTCTCACTCACTTCCAGGGCTTGACCAACACTGACTCCTTCCATCCTACGGCAACTCTGCCAATTAGAAATGTACCAGATGCCACCTATAATAATACAACAAAAACAAAAACAAACCCTACTGTTGGGAGAGCTCTCCGGGGGTCACCTATTCCACACTGCCTCTGGGCAGTCCCCGTGCCTTCTGGGAACAATTTGGCAGTGACAACTGGCTCTGCTCTTTGTGGAGCTCTCCAGGGAATATAATTACACAACCAGTTCCACTACCTTTAAACTCTTACAATCAGGACATTTTCCTTTCCATCTTCAACAAATCCCTCCCAGAGGCAATTTAAGCCCATTTCCTATTATTTGGTGTTCAACTCAAATGGAAACCAGCTGCTTGCTGACCAGTCTACCCACAACAGATAGCTTGGCTCACGCACAAATAAGTTCAAAAGAACCAAGATGAATCGGTTCCCTCCACAAACCTTCCTAAAGTGACTACAGCACAGTAGGTCCTCAGTGAAAGCTTAATTCTACAAGAGTTGATACCTAGGGAGATTATTTTTACAAACAGGTTCTCAAAACAAACTAGGAGGCTTGTGTTGTCATTTAGCAGTATAGAGTCATGTGTCAACATTTCTCTCCTAAAGTATATTCATGCTTCATCATACATTTAAAAGACCCTGAATGCTATGTTCCTGCCCATGATATTTTAAATCGGGTATTCTTCTCTTGGCTATCCTAACGTGGTAGAATAACCTTTCTCTTAATGATTCGATACTTGAGGCAGGAAGTGGGGGCGTGGGCAAAATGGGTGAAAGCGATAAAAAAATGTCTCTTTCTAATTCCCAACCTAACAAACCAACTTCCAAGGAGTGATTTCTTTATCTAGTACAAACCCTGACTGGTGCCAACTATGTTCAAGTTGCTCTGAAGAGTGCGTCTCGATGGGCAGCAGAGGTGGATGGGTGGGAAAGAACTTCCCATAGATAAGAACGATCTGTAGGGGAATTTAAATTATTACAGTACAAATGGATTTTAATTATGCCCCAGTGAGATCGCCCTTTCTGTCTATGTATCTTTTTAATTTTCTCTCTTTAAGTCACTGGTCAGCGAGTAAATGACTCTCTAGCTTTAACCTAGCTCACCAAACACTGTGATTACTAGGGGTTGTCAAAGAATGGTGAATGCCAGTTCTCATTAAGTTACGCACAATGGTAAGAGCAGGCAACAGTTTCACAATCAGTGCACTAAGAATCCAAAGCAATAATAAAAGCCAGCACCTGTTTTTGGTAGATTCTGAGTGAATCAAATATTTGAGGCACACGTTAGAAGAAGCAATCTCATTTTTCCACCATCTCAGGTAAAGGGAGCTTGGGGGAAGGGATTCCATATTCTTTACTACCCATTCATTTCACCTTCTTGCCTTCACCTCCACAAAATATTTGCAAATCATCTACTTCATAGCTTCGCCTCTAGTACCATCCTTGTCTAAGCCACTGCCATCTTTGATGGTACTAAAGCAATAGCCTCCCACTCTTCTCTGCTTCTACTCTAGTCTCCCTACAATCCATTCTCCATAGAAAAGCTGAAATGAAATTGTAAAATGTTAAAGAATGCCAAATCCCCTAGTAAAATCTCCCAAAGTCTTTCTGTAGCATTTACAATAGAATCTAATCCTTAATGTGGTCTATAAGATGCTACATGATCTGGATCTGTCTACATATCAGACCATATCTCTTATGATGCTTTCATCATGCTTCAGCCACTTTGGTTCTAACAGTGCCGCTTATATTATTTTAACCTGGTCATTTCAAGAAGACCTGAAACCTCTCTGACCTTTTTTCAAATCTGCCATAAAGAATTCTGCTTGTGACAGACGATGTTAAATTACTCCCTCTCCGCCCCCCCTAAAAATCCTTTGTACTTTCTTTGTTACACCACCAACACATGGAGTTCAGAAGTCCTTAATTTCACCACTGACCACCAACCTATTATTTATGAGTCAGTTTACCCGGGCTATCTGTCCAAACTGATTTTTGGTTTTTGGAAAAGGGGCTGTTTTTACTTCTTTATTTAAATATATTAGGTAAAATAGAGTCTCCTAAAAGTCAAATATTGGACAGTTATTGTCATGAACAATGATTTATGGATTATGGGAAATTGTGCACACATATAAATATCAGCTTGCGTTAGATATTAATAAATTCTAACAATACTTTTATTGTAACTTACAACTTCCAAATTTCAAAGGGCATGCATGACCATCCATGGGGAAATCCACCAATCTCATGGGACACTCCGCACTTATGGTGAGTCTATGATGGAAAAATGCGATTAAAATTAACTCTCACTTTAAAAATGATTTTTAGACACCTAAAACGAGAAGGATGAAAAAAAGGAAGGAAGGAGAGAAGAAGGGAGAGAGAGAAGGAAGAAAAAATGGAAGAAAGCATAAAAAGGAAAGATGGAAAAAGAAAAAATCGACTACCTCATTGTGTATAAAATAGTGCCATTTCTCATAATTCTAAAAAGCTTGTTTGGAGCTGTCATATTATGTGAAACAGATTTCTTTCCATTCCTGAAGAAAGTATCAGGTGTCCATACTTTTGTTACCATCATATTGTTCAATCTCAAAATTTCAATGGGGCCATCATATTTTAGTCTTTTGTCAATCCACGTCTGTCTGAAGAACACATCCATTGTGTATTCCTAGGGAAATTAGTTTGTGACATTCAAATCACAGATGACTACACATAAATATGCATTAAATTCTAGCCTCTATCCCACTCATAAAAAAAAACTACCCAAATAAAAACTAAATTAATAGGAACAGAAATGTTCTTACATCAATGGAGCTAAATGATTCTCAGCAATTAAAGCATGTTGTGTCCATCTTGATACCTTAATCTTCTACTTCATCAGGTAAATAAATTACATACACATGAATCATTCAAGACTAATTACTATAATTTAATAAAACTACCAGCACAAAATAATTACAGTTGTGCTTTAGTCCAGGTAGCAAAATTAGTAAAAGTGTAACAAATATCATTGTATTATTAATCATAAAATTGTAGGCATCTCTAAGACAAGTAAAATATGTAAAAAGCAATTTTATATTCACAAAATTTATTAAAATTAGCCTAGAAGCCTAAGGCCAAGGAAAAAAGGTAAAGTAGGTCCTTTAACCTTTAAACTACATATATTTAAAATTAGAGGGCACAACTGAATAGATGAATTCATCCTGACCAGTGTTTGGTGTTCTAACCTCTTTAAGCATGAGAAAGAGGCAGGAAGAGAAGGCATGGGGGGACGGGGTGGGGGCAAGTTGTGAGCAGTTGGGCCAACATGGAGTACTAAATGCAGTTAGGACTACAATATAGTTTTATACAAAAACTAATTACACTCTTCAATTTTCTCCACTTCAATAATTTTCTAAGGAAAAAAAATCACTACATAAAAGGTTTTACCACTGACACAAGTAATAGTAAGGTTTTTTTTTTCTTTGTTGAGAATAACTCCAAACCAAAAAATACTCAAATATTAGAGCTGAAATGTAAATTCAATGTCTTATCCTTATAAACCTTTAAGTCTAATTAGGAGGCTCTTTGACTTTCTAGCTGTGTGCGATTAACAAGATAAATATCATTTGCCCTCTCTTCTGCATGTTTTCTTCAAAAGACAAAAAGTACATGAAGTTTCCTAAATACCTACCATTTCCACATCAGAAACAGGTCCAAAGCTGGTGACATATATGTCAGTTTTTACTTCTGTAACAGGACCTAGTAGGTATGAAGTAAATAGGAGTGAAAAAAAAATACCAATATTACAGGCAAGGAGAATAGAGCAAAAACAGATATATCATGTTTTTACTGGCATCTTAATAATGCACCTCTACAAAAAAAAAATGTAGATAAAAGAATAACAGAACCAGAAAGCAGTGTTTATTTACAGGCAAAAAAAATAAAAATTACTTAGGGTAACATTGTTTCTTAAAGAAATACATCACCTACCAGGCACTACTGTGAAAGGCAGTGCAGGGAACAAAAACTCTTAGCCTTTGTAATTTTTTATAGTCCGTCATCTGATTGGCCCTTAGTAAAGAAGCGAGCTGTTAAAAAGAGGGAACTTAGCCACAAGAGTGAGGAGGAGAAAAACCATAATGGTCGTCTTTGGAAAGCTGAGGATTCTACTTAAATAAGAGCACAAAAATGATTCATGGCACCTTTAACAGTAGGCACACCATCCACCGGTAACTGAGATTAAAGACAAACTCTCCTACAAGCCAGACCTATTCACCTCTTGCCACCTACTAGCTGTTTGATCAAGGGCAGGCTACTGAACCTCTCAAAAGCAGCAATCGCACATATCAAGCAAGACTACCGATAGGGATCAAGTGAAATTGCTCACATAAGACCCTGAACACAGTGACTCTCTCATAAGAGTACTTATTAAGTAGTAGTTTCTCTTGGCTTCTGATAAACGCCACTACTGAGATTCTTTCCTAGGTGTAAATAGCATTGGTTCAGAAACAAATACATGGGTGTGTTTGGCAGAAGGGAAAGGCGGGAGCATCATGATAATGGGGCTGACACAGATTTTAGACAAAGGAAAATTGCTACAATCTGGGTTTAGCATGGTGCTTAACATCAGGAATTGTGGCATTTAAATTTGGCTCTTTTTAAATATACGATCTTAGTCAAGTCATGAATCCTAATAGGTTAAGGTTTTAATGAGTATTAAGTAAAATAATAAATGTAAATGACTTGCCCCAGTCTCTAGAACATAATGCTCTCAATAATGATAGTCATTATGATATATATACCTTTTTATTCCTAATAAAAATAAAAAATTGTTGCCCTCTTGAACATCATTTCCTTAAATGATGGTTTATACCATTGTATGGCCAGAAGCTAGATACTCTATACTGGAAAGAATGCAAGATGCACTATTTCCTTTGGATACTGGTTGGACAATTGGATTTATGCCAAAAAAAAAAAAAAAAAAAAAAAAAAAAAAAAAAAAAAAAAAAAAAAAAAAAAAAAGAAAAGAAAAATAAAAAGACAAATAACAGTTAGTATAGCTTAATGCCCTAGGTCTAAAGTTATCCTCATAAAAATGAATCAGAATATTTCTCCCTGTATAGGATGAAGACTGAGCCACAGGAAAAAAAAAAAATGGTTTGAAGGAGAATTAGAAATTCTTTCTTGAATAACTATCTTAAGACAAATAGGGGTATCTGAATGGCTCAGTTGGTTGAGCTTCTGACTCTTGATTTTGGCTCAGGTCATGATCTCACAGTTTCGTGAGTTTGGGCCCCACATCCAGCTCTATGATAACAGTGCGAGCCTCCTTGAGATTCTCCCTCTCTCTCTGCCCCTCCTCCCCCACTCACACTCTCTTTGCCTCCCTCAAAATAAATTAATTAATTAAAAATTTTTTAATGTTTATTTATTTTTGAGAGAGAGAGAGAGAGACAGAGAGACAGAGCACAAGTTAGAAGGGGCAAAGAGAGAGGGAGACACAGAATCCAAAGCAGGCTCCAGGCTCAAAGCTGTCATCGCAGAGCCTGACGCAGGGTTCGAACCCACAAACTGTGAGATCGTGACCTGCGCCAAAGAATAAATAAATATATTTTTTAAAAGAGAGAAATATATCCTTTGTAAGTATAGTGAAAGAAAAGGTACAGATCAGATTGATCTATCAGAGGTTTTTTCATTTATAAATAGGTTATTTTAAATTTTATTTTAGAGACAGAGAGCATGAGTTAGGGAGAGAAGGAAAGAGAGAATCCTAAGCAGGCTCCATGCTCACGCTGAGCCTGACACAGGGCTCAATCCCATGGCCCTGGGATCATGACCTGAGCCAAAATCAAGAGTCAGACGCTCAATTGACTGAGCCACCCAGGCGCCCCAATGAGTTTGCATTAAAAAAAATACTAACACCTTTGGAAAGCAGAGAAAATAAGTGTGAGAAGTTAACTGAATTTTCATTTGAATGAGCAATTATAAACAAGAACAAAAATATGGTAGCAATAAGCTCATTAAGCCAAAATGTTCCGGGAATTGATAGGCAATCCAAGAAGCTGATAATGTGTGTTGAATTTTAGAAAACAGAGCTTTTAACTCAAAGTGGTTCAAGAGTGGGACAAGTTATTCTGCCAGTTTCTTAAGAACCGCTGAAGTATCAAAAGCATTAAGTCGCTGCATGTCAGAGCAAAGGAGGTAAGTTACTTAGAACAATTAAGGTTGCATATGTCCTGACAACTGAACTGTTGTTTGACAAGATTCTTGAGAAATTAAAAGTTACTTCAAAGATCAATTTAGGGCAGTGGTTTTCAAATTGGAACTGAATCAGAATCACCTCGAAGGTTTGTTAGAGCACAGAATGCTGGGCTCCACCCTACACTTGCTGATTGACCTAAAGTGGAGCCTGGTAATTTGCATCTCTAACAGGTTCCTAGGTGATGCTGTTCACGTTATTCTAGTTTACAGACAATGCTCATCTGATTTCTAGAATAGTATTTACCAAAATATGTCCTATAAAATATTAAGACCGTAAGTGTTCTATGGGAGTGAGAGAAGCGTAGGAGAGGAATTAGACCAACGTAATTTTTACTTACAAATTTATTTTAAGGTGCATGGGGTTATACTAATTCTTATAGTTATAATGATTCCATGATAATAATGGGTATTTTCTTTTTTTAAATATTTTTTAATGTTTATTTTATTTTTGAGAGAGAGAGAAGGAGTGTGTGAATGGGGAAGGGGCAGAGAGAGAGGGAGACACAGAATCTGAAGCAGGATCCAGGCTCTGAGCTGGCAGCACAGAGCCTGAAGTGGAGCTCAAACCCATGAACCACAAGATCATGACAAGAGCTGAAGTTGGATGCCTAACTGACTGAGCCACCCAGGCTATTTTCAAATTCTTACATAATTCTTTCTTAATGATTCTTGAAAAACGTTTGCCTTCAGAATTACAATCCTAGTATTGTTGAGTTAGTTTGTGGCATTATTCAGTATTTGCTTTATATGATCACATAGGTCTTTCAGACAAGCTAGGTTCTGAAGATATGATTGGTAAAGAGATTTCATTTGGACATTCATTCAATAAACATCTATTGAGTGAGCACCTGCTGTGTGCCAGGTTCCATACTAGGCCCTGGTGCTTCAGTAGGAAACAAGACTTAAGAGCTTCCTGCCTCAGGGAGTTAATGTGCTATTAGAGAAGTCTGAGTATAAGTAATCAAGAAATAAATTACATGGGAGGATCTTGTCATTCATAAGAGATATAAAACAGGCTGGTCATTGAGTTAGAGACTGGGAAAGCCTAGATGTTGTAGCCCTTCTTCAAAGCAGTAACTTTTAAACTGAGACCTGGAGGGTAAGCATGAGGCATTGGAGGAACCGAGAGAATTGCATCACAGGCATAAAGAACTTCAGGGAAGAAAGCCTAGAGGCGGGAGAGGCCTTAGTGTGCTTGGGGACTAGGAAAGAGGCCAGTGTGGCTGGGGCCAAGCAGGTAAGGAAGAAAATGATAAGAAATGAAAGCCACATAAGCAGAATGAAAACCAGAGTCAGGGGACAGAGATCCGCACCTGAGCTGATATTCTAAAGTGGCATCTTTTAAGCAACATATTTATACTACACGTTATGGTGACAGTTGTTAAAACTACATGGAAAAGAACTATTAGAGATCCCAGTGACAGATGGGCAACACATAAAGAGGTTGTTATGGGCTGAATTATGCTCTTTCCAAATTCATATGTTGAAGTCCTAACCCCCAGTACCTCAGAATGTACCTGTATTTGGAGTTAGGGTCTTTAAAAAAGGGAATGAGGTTGGGGCGCCTGGGTGGCGCAGTTGGTTAAGCGTCCGGCTTCAGCCAGGTCACGATCTCGCGGTCCGTGAGTTCGAGCCCCGCGTCGGGCTCTGGGCTGATGGCTCGGAGCCTGGAGCCTGTTTCCGATTCTGTGTCTCCCTCTCTCTCTGGCCCTCCCCCGTTCATGCTCTGTCTCTCTCTGTCCCAAAAATAAAAATAGAAACATTGAAAAAAAAATTTAAAAAAAAAAGGGGGAATGAGGTTAAAATGAGGTCATTAAGATGGGTTCTAATCCAATGTGACTGGTGTCCTTCTAAGAAGAGATTAGGACACAGAAACACACAGAAGAAAGACCATGTGAATGAAGACAGAGAAGATAGCCATCCACAAGCAAAGGAGAGTGGACTTAGAAGAAACCAACCCTCTGCTGACATCTTGAACTCGCTGCCGTTTAAGCCACCCTGTCTGTAGTATTTTGTTATGGCAGCCCAAACAAAAGAATACAGAAATGCAAAAGAAACAATTTTTCCCTATTCTTTCCCAACGTTTTCTCCCTCTGATATTCAGTACAGCTCTGCCTTAGGCTGTGAGGAAGTTTGTTTTTTATCCCTTCATCATTGGGAGGCCATCAAGAGTCCGAAGTAAGGAAATTATGTGACCTGAATTATATTTTTTATAAAATCCCTCTGGCAGTTGTACAGACAATAAATTATAGGGAGGCAAGTGTAGAAGAAGGGTTCTTATAAGAGGCTGACAGCAGCCTAGCCTAGCCTAGCCGAGAAATGATGGTGGTCTATACTGGGAATATGGCAGTGGGGATGGAGTGTGGACAGATCAGTGGGCATGCTGGTGTGAAACTAACTCACCGGGAATGGGTTTTTTTCCAAAGAGCAATAAACAGAGATATAATATTCTATGTATTGAAGGCCTACTACATGCCAGGCAGGATACTAGCCTCTTT